TCATCACCAGATCTGGGTTCTAATGTTGTTTGGGGATCAGCAGAGCAAAGTCAAAACCTGGCCCAGAAACAGGAGTTCAAATTTGAGTTCCAACCCTGTTCCCATGCTCACTGTGGAATCTAAGTTAATCCTCTTTATCTTGGTATGGTTTTGTAGAGATTAAGTGAACTAATATACAAAATGTCTGTAACATAGTAGGAGCCCAATATATGTTCAGTTCAGTTCAGTTCAGTCGCTCAGTCGTGTCCGACTCTTTGCGACCCCATGAATCGCAGCACGCTAGGCCTCCCTGCCTATCACCAACTCCCAGAGTTTCATTGTTATTATCAACAACCTAATTGTCTAACCATGTGCCCTAGTCATATATGCCATTACCCATGATGACTCAGATACATCAGACATTGAGAAACACTCCTTTATTGAGACCCTCTCTCCTTTACCCCTGTCATTCTCCACCCCCAGGACATTCTGCTGATCTTCCCTTTCCCCTTTCCCTTGTTGTCCTTATCCTCTTTCCTTTGGCTGCACCGCACAGTTTGTGGGATCTTAGTTCCTCAACCAGGGATTGAACCCACACCCTTGGCAGTGAAAGCGCAGAATCCTAACCACTGGACCTCCAGGGAATTCCTTCCTTGTTGTACTTTTTTGTACCCTTCACAAGTTGACAGTTTTAGTTAAGTAGTCTTGATGGTATCTTTTTACTTACTGGCTCTAGAAGAAGCCAAAGTCCATATAATTAAAGTCCAGTCTCTTTATCCACACTTGGAGCACAGCAGTGGGAGAAGGTTGGTAATATTATACACTCCTGCTCATCAGCGTTACTGCAAAAACACAGTTGCATGCAATAATGAGGAGGGCTTTGCTCTCTTTACAAATTAATGAATTAATAAATGAACCAGGAGAGGGAGCATCAAGTTTGTGAAGATGCATTTCTGCACACCTCACACTTCTACTCCCTTGATATTTAACCAGTAACCAGAGTAAAATGGACCATGAAGGGAAACTATGAAAATCACAGGGTTCTGCTCCAGGCTCGAGACTTAAGATAATTATCTGCAACTTGAATTTCCCAACCTCTGATAGAAATGAGGTCATCTTGATAGCCATGGCTGAACTGTCACCCCAGCTTCTAATGCAGGACCTCCATCCAGTTTTCTTTGAGGTCTCGCCCCAGGATACCTAGGAGTCCTGAAAGGATATCTTATGTGGAGACTGAAAAAGTCCACTTCTCAGGGATGTCAGTGCTTCATGAGGTGTCCTCTGGAATCACCACCCACTGACTCCAGCACACGAAGACCATCAGTCCTCTCCACTGTCCTCTGGGCATAACTACTAAATATACCAGTGTCCCCTTAGTACCAGGTCAGGGCAGGCTTTCATGACAACATAGGAGGCCTCTCATCACTCCAGGACTCGAAATCAGGCCTAGTATCCTAGGTCCCAGAGTGGAAGTGGCCTATGACCCAGGCCTCAAGGCATCCTATTTCTGCCAGCAGCCCTTTCCCCACAGACTCAGACAAAGTGGTGTTTTGTCCACCTGCACTCCGGATCCCAGAGAGGAGCTGTGGACCTAACAGCCTTTGTGCAGACCTCCTACCTCCCCAAACCAGTGAACACCATGTTCACAGACAGCGTGACTCTCAGTGTAAGATCCTCTCTTAAGCCAATGAAGACAAAATCCTTGCTATCTAGGAGCTTGTTTGATTTTAAATCCTACTGTTTTCTAGAAGCATCCCGGTCTTTCTCCATTCAGAGAAAGGACAGTTGGAGTACAAATGCCTAGGCCATCTTAAAGCTCCAAGGCTACAAGAGCAGTCTCTCATTTCCCCATCAGCCAAAGGCTGAGGAAACAAGATGAGCACAGCGTGTTCTTGCCCCAGTGGAGCTCAGAGCCCAGTAGGACAGGCAACTTTGTCATTGATTATTCAGGGAAGGATGACGTGAGAACACAGCATTTAGGTTTGGAAACCTAAATCAGACAAAAAGAGTCAAGGAAGGAGACTTCAAGAAGAATAAATGTTTGGGGATGTGTTTTGAAGAACAAAAGAAGTTAGCTAAATAACAAAACGTGAGATGGAAAGGGATTTGTGTGAAAGTGGTACATGAGTAAAGCCTTTCTTAGTTTTAGCAGTTATGGGTAATTCCACAGTTTCCTAGGAAAGGTAGTTATTATTTATCAGACCAAAGATTTCTGTTACTAGGATGGGGGTACGGTGAGGAGGAAGGATGTACTAGCTCCTTTAACATTTCCCTCAAGGGGACCACATTTAAGCTTAAGCTATTGGAGAATTACTAGTGTTAATCAAAGGTAAGCATTTATAAAATGAAGGATGACATCTTATAACTGCTGTTCAATTCTTTAAAAAAAAAACCTAAAGATGAAAAATGTCTTGTTGTAAGCCACAGTGTGCTTGCCCAACAAGATTGGAATTTTCCTTGAACTTGAGGGCTTGACTTTCTCAGGAAACCTCTCTCTGGTCCCACACTAGGTCAGACCTTGCACTTGTACACACTAGAGTCCTGTACTCTTCTTTATCCCAGTTCATGAAAAATGTGTATGTGTGGGTGTGTGCATGTGTGTGTGAGATTCAATTGTTCCACCTTCTAGGAGTACAATCTTAATCTGTTTTCTCTCTGCTCTATCATCAGTTTCTAGCACAATGTCTGGCACAAAATACATGCTAGATGTGTTGATTCTGCAGCTCCTGCCGTTGTGTACTGTTCTGTTGTGATTTTCACTATTAGAATTTTGTCTCTATTGAGAAAACAAGAATTGTGTTATGAGGAGGAGAAAGCTATAGTCATTCAGGTTAGCTGATATGACCTGGTCATATAAGAGGTTAAGGGTCATGGGGGTATTTAGAGCTCTCAGAGCCAATTGCCAGGTAAGAGGCCGTCACTTAGAACAGAAGCTTTCAAGTGATGTCCAGGAAGAAAAGAATAATAGGTTTGTTTTTAACAAGGGACATAAGCTATGGCAGACACACAGGACCAAATACTTTATTCACAGGGTCCAGTGCAAAATGCCAGTGCAAGGCCTGTTGCTCAGAAAGTATCAAGAATTTCAAGACAGTGACAGAGAGCATGCACACAAGTGCAGGGCCCTGTGTGACCGCACAGACGTATACCCACTGTGACAGGGAGGAGAACACTGACTCCTACTAGATCTGTTCCTTTTCACTTTAACCTCTGTGTTCTAGTGCCCAGGAGCTTAGTCCTGGGGGCCCTGCTTTTGTAAAAGAATGTTGCCTGTTGGCTGAAATATACAGGAGAGACTATTCTCAAGGCTCTGACCTTTAAGAGTCCATCCATATAGAGACAAAAAGTTGCAGGATAGAGAATAACATTTGCCTTGTTGGAGGTCTACATGAACATTGTGAACTGTATGGACTGCTACAAGAATAGAGAATTCTTACAAGAATTTTGCAACAACTAACCATGCCCCTCCCTCAAGCTGCCTTTAAAAGTGCTTTGCTGAGGGTCTCCCTGGTGGCTCAGTGGTAAAGATTCTGCCTGCCACTGCAGGAGACACAAGTTTGATCCCCGATCCGGGAAGATCCCACATGCCATAGAACAACTTAACCCATGTGCCACAGCTACTGAGCCTGTGCTCTAAGAGCCTGGGAAGCAAAACTGTTGAGCCCACATGCAGCAACTATTGAAGCCTGCGCGCCCGAGAGCCTGTGTTCCGTGCACTGCAACTGGAGAGTAGCACCACAGCTAGAGAAAAGCCCTCACAGCAATGCACAGCCGTAAATAAATAAACCTAATTATTTTTTTAAGTGCTTTGCTGAAACCCTGTGAGGAGTTTGGGGGTTTTGAGACATGAGCCACCTGTCTCCTTGCAAAGCCCTGGGGTAAATCTTTCTCTGCCCCAAACTCCAGCTTTTCAGTTTGTTTGGCTTGACTGTGCATTGGGCACACGAACTTGCGTTCAGTAACACCATGAAGCTGGCCTTACAAACATTTATAGTTAATAAATAAAATCTGAACATGAGTTTATAGTTTCCTGTGGGAAAATTGGGCAGTTTTGTATAGGAGGGGGCGTTACTTAAATATCCAGATGTATATCCTTCCCTGCACATTGAGGTTTTTCTTCAAAAGGTACCAGGTCCTTCTGCCCCTTAATTCCATGGGACCATCTCTCTGTTTCCAAAAGATCTACTAAGGCACACTGGTTTGCCCCTCCGCAAACAGCCCTGACATTCTTACTATCTTGCAATGCCCACTTACTCCACAGCTGAGAAGATTTGGCCTGGATTTGAGGCTCCACAGTCCAAAAAGCATGGATTTTGAAGCCAAAATGGGTTCAAATCCCAGCTCCACCACTTACAGTTCAGCCACTTAGAGCAAATTAGTTACTCTCCTGGTTTTCTCATCTATAGATGAGAACGATGTTAATAACACCTAGCCTAATAGGGTGGCTCTGAGGATTAAATTCGTAAAAAGTGTGACCGGCTTAACACAACCAAACTAGGGCACATCCACGTTTTGCAGTATCTCTCTGCTTAAGTCCAAAGCTGAACCGAGGAAAGAGGAGCGCCCTCAGGCCAGGAAACCCCAGCTCTGCTTGCTTCCTCCGTCACTGAACCCTATAAATAACTTGGCTAAGTCACCGGCTCCGGCTCCCAGAGAGTCGCAGTTTCTCTGGGTGCAGAAGGAGGGAGTTGCTGCAGGTGGTCCCTCCCGCTGGATCATTCGTTTGGGCTTTGGTCTGAATTTTCCTTCTACCTCCTAAAGCATCCCGGGACCGTGCCGAGCACCGGAGCTCGCCCAGCCTGGTCGCAGGGCCTCCCTAGGGCGCGGCCCCCTCCGGTTCCCCGCCGGAGCAGGGCCGGGGCGGGGGCGAGGCCGGAGGAGGGCGCGGCGGCGCCTCAGCGAGGATGGGAGTCCCCGGCCTCAGAAGCTGAGCGAGCCTGCGCGCGGCGGGGAGGGCGCTCCGGAGGGAGGCGAGCTTCGCTGTTCCTCCGGGAGCCCAACACCGTTCCCGCGCCGCCACGATGATCCCCCCGAGCGGCGCCCGCGAGGACGGCGTGGACGGGCTGCCCAAGGAGACGGCGAGCGCCGAGCAGCCGCCCTCTCCTGCATCCACCGGCAGTCAGGAATCCAAGGTACGGCGCACGCTTGCCCCAAGAGGACACAAACTCACTCCTCTTCCTCTCTGTCCACCTTTGTTTCCTCCCCACTGGCGCTGGCGCCGGAGGCTAAGACGCTTCCCTAGTTCTTCTCAAGGACTGTACTCCCTTGAGACTTGAATGTCCGGCAAAACTCGCTGCTAGCGATGCTGGACCATGTCGCTGGGGACCCAGTCTTCTTGTCCGCACGGCCCCGGGGTGTTGCGCTGGGCTCCTACCCTGCGAGCACCCGCAGTTCACAGTGGCTCCGGGTTCGGATCGCTTTCCTGGGTGGTGATGGCGTGCTTGTTCTGTGCCTTGAACCTTCATGTGCCTAAAGCGCGTGTGGGTATTAGGCGGCTTCTGAAGGCTGAGGGACAGACAGCCCAGGACACTCCTCCAGAAAAGCCGGGGCATTTGCGAACTAGCAAAGGCTCGCCTGTATCCCAAGGGCCTGAGACCCTTAGGCTAACCGAACTCATCCCTAACCTCGGATACCACTGATTTCAGAAAAATTAGGGAAATGCTACCTTCTCGAGAAAGTTGATGTTCCTCTCGTGGAAGTTAATCCTCGAACTTAAACTTGCTTTTGTGAGAGCTACACTGACATACACAAAACCAGCCCCGCGGCACTTCTGTCACTGTTACACTTACTCTGAGACGTTCACGGGTGCCAGGCGCATGTTTGGAAATCTTGGAAGAGGATCAAGTAAAATGCGGCTGCTAGCTGTTCGATGCCAAATGGCATCTCAGTCGGGAGTAAAAACCATAAGATGGAGTTTGTAGTTATATGGATTCTTTAAGTGCAGGGCTCCTGGCTCTTTTTCCAGATCTCCTTGTGGGTTCCCTGGGTGTCTTTGGAATGTGGGGCAGTTCTTGTGGAGGAATGAAGGAGAGGAGGATGCCAGTGTGGAGAGCAGGTCAGATGGGGCCAAGAAGAGTCTTCTCCTTTATGCCTTCACACCCATCCCGGGAAGCCACTGACAAATCATCCGGCTCACACGCATAGCTAAGTGACTCCCATCCTAAGTGATCCTGCCGGCTGGACAGTATCCCAGCCTCTGAAAGTTAACCATCAAAGATGCTAATCCAAGACAGAGAGCTTGGCATTATCTTTATTTGGGGGGCAAATGTCTGACCTGGAACATGTGTGTCAACTTTTCTAAAACTTAACTATAAACGGGGACAAAAACCCCACCTTCCAGAATCATTGAGAGGCATAGAGAGATGACCTAACACCCACCCAGTACAGTATAAGGACTCAATCCTGTTCACTGTTTTCCTTCCTGAGATAAGGAGATGGGATCCATCTCACCACAGACAATTCACTCCAAATGGGTCTCACAACCCCCACGCACCGACCACTGCCCCTCCAATCAGAAGTTACTGGCTCTCTATCATTGTGCGTCATTGACCTAATTCACCTAAGTGATACGGGGTAGTGGGCACTTCACAGGTGATCTAGAATACTGGAAATGAATGTAACTAAACTCAAGACTGAAACTAATAATCAGCTTTTCTAATTGGGCCTGTTGCTCTGCAGTAGGTATGTTCTGGAAGGGGCTTAGCATTTGATTTTATAGCAGCATGGTTCAAACACACTGTATGGGCTTGCTATTTATAGATACCCTAATGTAAATTCTTTGGCAAAACAAAGACTACATATGTAATACCCATCATTACCCACCAATTTATCTGGCTTATGGTTTCAGACTTGTACACGTCAGTTTTTCTCTATGTGTATTTATATATTCCTAAATTTGCTGTCATAGCTTAGGTGTTCTTGATCAGTGGAGACAGGCTATGGGGGGTTGTCCATGAACCCCAAGAAGCTGAGTGCAAAGTAGTGTGCCTGAATGTGGGATTTTTTTGGCATAGTGTTTGTGATGCTCTCCAAGGGGCCAATGCTTCTCAAAATGGCTAAACTGCTGATGTGGAGGCTGTGTGGTAGGGAACAGCAGGATGGCAAGAAGCAGGAACAGAGGCAAGCTCTATTCATTCTGCACCAGGAGCGCCACATTTGAAGGTTTATTGGCATTTACAGGGATCTTCCATCTGACAACAAGTGTCTGGTAGGAGAACGTGGACAGCTAGTCATCCTGTATTACTCCCCTCTGAAGTGATCTGTTTGTCAAAATACCGTGTGGGGCAGGCATAGTTCAGCCTTTCTGGACAGTAACCTTTCTCAAGAAGGACTTTTGAAATTCATTTTTTCTTTTATTTTATTAAAGTCTTATTGACTTACAGTATTGTATTAGTTTCAAGTATACAACATAGCGATTCAGTGTTTCTCTAGATTAGTCACCATACAAAGTTAGTCATCATATTCAGTGTTATTGACAGTATTCCCTGTGCTGTACATAGCACCCTGTGACTTACTTATTTTATAACTAATAGCTTGTACCTCTTAATCCCCTTCACCTCTTTGACTCATTCACCCCACCTCCCTCCCCCTCTGGCAACCACTGGTTTGTTCTCTGTATCTACGAGTGTTTCTGTTTGGTTATATATGCTCATTTGTTTTAATTATTAGATTTCACTCTACATTTTTAAAATAACTTTTTTTCTCTCCTGATAAGAGTAACAACTACTTTGTGGAAATTTGAAAAGTCCTGAAAAAAAAAAAGAGAGAAGGAAAAAATCACCCACTAGTCACAATCCAGAGGCAATTACTGATAATGTCTTGGTTGTATATTTGCCTTTTCTCGTTTTTTTATATTTACCCAGTTGAGAGAACAGTAGTAAGCATCTACTGGGTGCTTGGTGGGTGTCAGACACAACTTGACCCTTCATAATAACCCTGTGAGGGATATTGTGCTGTTATTTCTGTTTTATGGATAGGGAAGTGAAAGCTCAGAATGGGTAGGTGACTTCCCCTTGATTGTATAGTGAGTTGATTGACACAGCAATGACAGGAACCCGGGCCTCATGACTGTGGAGAACAAGTTTTTGACCACCATGCTGCTGTCTTTTATGCCCGTGGCCTGTCTTACATTCTATACTGTTTCGCCCAACATCCTAACCAAGTATTTTCTATGCCACTAAAAGCCGTTTGCAACTGTGTTTTGTTCTTCCCAAGAAATCCTTGAAAATAAATTGAGCCACATTATGACGTGAAATGATTAAAGACCAACTCTTTTCCAGCTTCTTTGATTTTGCTACTCTTTCCCCAGAAGTATATTTACGGAAGTGATTAAATGGAACTTCACAGAACCATCTGGAAAACTTGACCACGATGAACCCTTCAGTCTAGAGGGGCCATTAGAGAAGAATGATAATGATTCAGTGCCTTCAGCACATAAAATGTTTCTGGAATGCCATTTTCTCTGCAGATTCCTTGGAATGCTAAATCAAATATAGGAATAGGAAACACTGGAGATGATCTACTCTGGGTATTTTTTAAATAATGGATAATTTTATTCTGTACATTTATTTTATTATGGAAAACTTCAACACACACAAAAGCAGAGAAAACACTATGAAGAACCATCATGTACCTAATCACCTGGTTCTACCAGTTATCAATTCATGTACAATCTTTGTTTCATCTGTAACCCCCACCAGTACCTCCACCCTTCCTTACACACACTAGTTCATTTTAAAACAAATTCCAGACATCAAGGGTCTTCCCAGGTGGTAAAAGAATCCGCCTGCCAGTGCAGGAGATGCAAGGGACATGGGTTCGATCCCTGGGTTCAGAAGATCCCCTGGAGGGGGGCATGGCAACCCATCTAGTATTCTTACCTGAAAAATCCCATGGCAGAGGAACCTGGCAGGCTACAGTCCATGGGGTCACAAAGAGTCAGACGTGACTGAGCATGTATGCACACACCAGACACCAAAGCATTTCATTTGTACGTATTTACAGTTGTATCTCTGAAGAATAAGGGCTCTTTTCATAAACATGACTATAATCCTATTATCACACACTGGAGGTGTTTTAAATCATGGGTCAGTATAGTCTTTGGAGGTCTACAAATTGTCTTTGGAATACCTGTGAACAGCCAGAACTTTCAAAATTGCTCATGTACGTGTATATGTGCATCATCTAGGGAAGGGATCCATAGCTTATACCAAATCAATAAAGTGCTCATAGCTTTCCCAGTTTATTTAAATATTCTCTCCCTTTTTTCCCTCTGTCGAGTAAATAGAGGCCCAGAGAGAGGCAGTGAGTTGCCTAAGATCACAAAGGTAGTTACAGACAATAACCCCACCTAAGAACCCGGCTAGGGCCGTGGATGCTGTGCTGTGCTTAGTCGCTCAGTTGTGTCCTACTCTTTGCGACCCCATGGACTGTAGCCCACCAGGCTCCTCTGTCCATGAGGACTCTCTAGGCAAGAATACTGGAGTAGGTTGCCATGCCCTCCTCCAGGGAATCTTCCCAAACCAGGATCAAACCCAGGTCTCCTGCATTGCAGGTGGATTCTTTACCGTCTGAGCCACCAGGAAAGCCCAGGAATAGTGGAGTGGTAGCCTATCCCTTCTCAAGGGGATCTTCTTGACCCAGGAATAAAACTGGAGTCTCCTGCATTGCAGGCAGATACTTTACCATCTAAGCTACCAGGGAAGCCCAGGACCTTAGATACCCCAGCACAGTTTCCTCAGAGTAAATTCCAGTAAGCACAAGTTATAATGTAGTTTATGTGGTTTTGTTTTTTCATAAAATTAGTTGAGTTGAAAGAGTTTCAAAGCCACTAATGAACCTCACCCCTCTATCTTTCCACTAACTATCTCAGAAAGACCACAATCTAATTCATTGTCTAAGTGTTTGACAGAGATCATTGAATACTAAGAAAAATTTCATGTTTCAGCATCCTTTATTGCAGTGAATGTCTCTTTTTATACTGACTTATTGACAATGTAGAAATCTTACTAGAGTGTCACATGGAGTTTGGTATGGATTCCCTTTGCCATCACTTATATAACACAAGCTCACATTTTGATGATGTGAAGGGATTATAGGTTTTGAGGACAAATAAACAAGCTTTCAGATCTGT